CAGAGTCTCACTATGTTACCGTGGGTAGAGTACTGTGGCGTCACAGCTCACAGCAACCTCCAACTCTTGGGCTTAAGTGATTCTCTTGCCTCAGCCTCTTAAGTAGCCGAGACTACAAGCGCCTGCCACAACACCCAACTTTGTTGTTGTTGTTGTTGTTGTTGTCATTATTGTTTAGCAGGCCCAGACTGGGTTCTAACCCGCCAGCTCTGGTGTATGTGACTGGCGCCCTAGCAGCTGAGCTACAAGGGCAGAGCCAAGATTCAGTAAAGTGAACTTGAGTCTACAAGTCACAATCCAAATATAGGATACTCTAAGGAATTTATTCATGTTTAATGTCAATATACATAATGTGCCCAATGCTTAGCAAATAAATGAGACTCTGGCTGAGTAAAATATGAACGCACCTAGTTAGTATATGAACATGAAAAGACAGAAGACATCAAATATTAATTGATGTTACTGTTCTACTGGTAAATGTACCTGTAGAGAAAACAATAATACATTTTTCTTTCAAGGTTAAAATAGACCATCAGTTCATTATCTGTCTTGACCAATAGCTGTGAAGACAAAATAGTTCTTCTTGCCTCTGGCTTGCTTGAACCTCTTATCTGAGCTAAAGACAAAAAGAATGGCAGTACTAATGAATAGGGTATACCCAGTTCCCAAGATGAGTGCACTTGAAGTTCTCAGGCAAGTTACCTTAACATGAAACGCAAACAACAGAACTCTGCAGATATAATTGCCATGCAAGGAGTTTATTCAAGAGTCTCAGCCCCAGGGCAGAGCTTCCCAAAGGCGCTTTATGATCTATTCCTCTTGTCCAACAGAGGTTTTCCTACTGTAGCCCCCAAATTCTAATTCAATTCCTTTTAAAGTCTGGTGTTCTCCAGTCTTCAGATCTACTTTGTCCAACTACCCACAGCCATGAAATTAGCTTACAGCAAAACAGAAGAATTAATACAACGTGTGAAATAAGCATTCTCCAATTGTGAGCAGAGAGCAAGGCCTCTGTAACTAGAACAAGGTCTCGAAATCAGAACCCTGCAACGTCTTTATCACCAGGTGTTAGTAATTGTAGTAAATAATTATACAAGCCTAAAAGCAGCTATGTACCTGGGACATCTTGCTCACATTAACAGACTGCTGGCTGTTTCCTGCCTTGAAATTATTATGGACATAGCTTTTTTTTAAGAGACAGAAATTTGGAATTTTAAAAAACTTTATTAAACTCCTTGACTCAAATTCCACCTCCCATTTGATCCCGCAATCCCTAGGTATTTACCCAGAAGAAAAAAATCATTTTATCATGAGGACATTTGCACTCGATTGTTTTATTGTTTGTTTGGTTGGTTTTTTTTTTTTTTTTTTTTTCAGTTTTTGGCTGAGACTGGGCTTGAACCCACCACTTATGGCATATGGGATCAACGCCCTACTCCTTTGAGCCACAGGCACCACCCAAAGAAATTTTTTTTTTTTGCAGTTTTTGGCCAGGGGCCGGGTTTGAACCCGCCACCTCTGGTATATGGGGCCAGCGCCCTACTCCTTTGAGCCACTCCTTTGCACTAGATTGTTTATTGCAGCTCAATTTACAATCACCAAGATGTGGAAACAACCTAAATGCCCACCAACCAAGGAACAGATTAACAAACTGTGGTATACGTATACCATGGAATACTATTCAGCCATAAAAAATGGAGACCAATACATTACATCTAATGTATTGACCTGGATGGAGTTGAAACACATTCTTTTTTATAAGGTATCACAATAATGGAAAAGCAAATATCCAATGTACTCCATACTAATATGAAGCTGGTAGACAATCTAATACACACCCACAAGAGAGAAAAACTCAATTCAAGTTGGGGGGAGGAAGAATGAAAGAGGGAGGAGTAGAGGGGGACTGGGGTGGTCCCACACAATGTAAGGGTGTGTGACATACCTTTTGGTTGTAGGACACAATTATAAGAGGGACAATACCTAACAAATGCAAACAGTGTAACCGAGTAGTTTGTACCCTCTCATTAAACTGAAATTAAAAAATGAAAAATAAAAGGCTTTTGGGAAAAAAAATTCCTTGGATTTTAGCCACGTTACTCTTAGCCTTTCTTTGCCTTTATTGTCTTCTTAGCTAAAGAACCACTGAAAATGTGCCTACTGGAGTTATATACTACAGTCCTAGTGGATATGCAGTGTACCCTTTAGTGGATGTGGGCATCAAACTGACCTAGCTTTGAATCCTGATTCTGCCTTGTAGTAGGTGTGTGAGCTTGAGCAAGTCAACCTGTGTCTTGGTTTCATCTCTCGTAAAATAAAATCTAACCATAACATATAAATGATTTGCTTGTACCCGTCATTGTTCCTTTAATTCTTACCACAACCCCCAGGAGAAAGAACTATAATCTGATTTTTATTTCTTTTTTTTTTTGAGACAGAGTCTCACTATGTCACTCTCAGTGGAGTGCTGGGGCATCACAGCTCACAGCAACCTCAAACTCTTGGACTTAATTGATTCTCTTGCCTCAGCCTCCCAAGTAGCTGGGACTACAGGTGCCTGCCAGAATGCCCGGCTATTTTTTTGTTGCAGTTGCCATTGTTGTTTTAGCAGGCCTGGGCCAGGTTCAAACCCACCAGCCCTGGTGTATGTGGCCGTACCCTACCCACTGAGCACAGGAGCCACCAATAATCTGTCTTATAGACAAAGCAATTGAGGCACAGAGAGGTTGAGTGACTTCCCTAAGGTCACACAGTTGGTAAGCTGCAAAGCCCAGATACTAATGCAGGATCCAGATTCCAGGCTCTAACATCCACAACTATGGCCTTTTCAAATGAGGACATAGCTACTAAAGACTTTTTTTTTTTTT